GAGGTTTGCAGGCGGGCTGAGGCCGGCGTGACTCCGTCGGCTTGCCTAGTGCTACAGCGACTGTGGCCCAGCCGAGCCGCAGGTCTTGCCTCGCCTCCTCCTCCGCCGCCGCCTCCTGTCAGCAGCTCAGCCACTGCGGTGACTCGGCAACTCCACTTCCGGGTCCGGGACACCGCCTGAATTTTGCATTATTCATGAGGAGGCGGTGTCTGAGCGCACAAGCACCTCCCACATGCGGGAGTTCCGAATGGCGCGGCCACTGAGCCAGTCTTGCCTGAGGGGGCGGAGCTTAGTGGAGCTGGTGGTTCCCCGCGCTGCCAGCCCCGCCTTCCCCTCGAGCCAGGAGGGGGCGTCAGAGGCGCCTGCGCCTTGGCTGCCGGTTGGTTGCTGGGTAACCGCGTCAGGGAGGAGCTGATTCCATTCTGCAAGGGCGCGGGGACCCACAGCGACGGCTGTCCCCAGAGAACCCCTGAGACTGGAAATTGAAGTGAAAGAGAACCCGGACTTCCTGTGCATGATTGAGGGGACGGACAAACTTCATGTCCTCAGGCGAGGGAGCGTTTTGTAGACGCTCCAAATTTTGAGGTGCTTCCTACGTCTTGGAAGATGCCCCACAAACAGCCACCTCGTAGGCAGGTAACACACGCGCCGACCTACTCTATCCTGGTGACCCCTGACCTTCGCTGCCAGTGACCACTGATCATACCTCTCCTACTGAATCTTCATCTTCCTTTCCCTGTTGACCCCTAACCTCCTCTCTCCGTGTGACCCCTGGCCTGTGTTCCCAGTGACCTCTGACACTGCCCCTGACCCACTTCCTACTACTCTTTCACGTGTCCTCCCCTCACCATTTCATTCCCTCACTCCGCAGACCCATCCTGACCAGCCCGTCCTCCTTTAGGAACCCCGCTCCCACCAATATGGTCCTCATTGCCCTCACATTCTTGTCCCAGAGAAATTATTTTTCCAGCCTTTTGTTATGTGCCCAGTGCTGGGCTAGGTGGAGATGCAGGCCTTTGGGAGCTTACAGAGGGAGTAGGGAGAACTGCACCGGAGACACAGAACAGATTATATGCAGGAGTTTGGTTTAGATTTTCTCTGTTGGGAGACTTGTGAGGAGAGAGTTCCGGCAAAGAAGAAGAGGAAAGAGACCCCCTTTCCTGTCCCTTCATACACTGCGCACCCAAACTGGCCCTTCCAAACTGTCCTTGTTGCCACCTGGACAGATGTCATCCCTTCTCACAGGAAACCCCAGAGTCACCCCTCTTACCTAGCCAGGACAGAGTTCTGCTTTTCTCTCAGCTTCACCTAGAGAGAGAGGTAAGGCCCAGCCTCTTGAGGAGCCTTCTCTGGTGAAGCCATTCAGTCCTTCAAGAATCACTTTTTCCAAACCCTTTATGAATTATCACCTTGGGACTAATACGCAGTTTCTGGCTTTGGGAGGCAGGACTTCTGTTTATTTATTCTAAGTTTCCCTCACTCAGGCCTAGGTATTTTGAGGTTCAGAGAGCAAATCTGTGTCCATGCTGTTTGTGACTTTATATATCTTGGTCTGGACTTTTGCTAAGCAAAAGGACTTAAGCAAAGGAGCTTTTCTCCTTTGTTTCTTTCACCCAGCCTTCCTTAGCAGATGGACCCATTATTCTTTGATCTCTGCAGCCATGGGGAGGCTATTATTCCAGCATGGCCTTGCCCTCTTTTTATGTTAGGATTGAACTGTGTTTCAAAACTCGTGCACTGTGCTTGGGCCTACTGACTCTTAATTTACATACTGACACATCACCACAATCAAGATATAGGACATTTCCTCTACCCCCAAAAGTTTCTTTGTGGCTCATCTCAGTCAGTTCTCCCCAACCTCCGAGACCCAGGTGATTTGTTTTCTATCATTACAGATTAGATTTTTCTAGCACTTGCAGTTTGAACAAGCTTGGGAATCAGTTTCCCCAGCCCATTAGGCTAGGTAAACTGAGACCAGAGTGAGGTGACAGCAGACAGGAAACACAAACCTGGGTCACCGGCCTTGCACACATTAGCACTGCCCCTTGGAGGGAAGGGTTGTTTTGTAACAGTGTAATTATGTGTGTGTGGAGTGTGAGAAAAAGCTGAGTTGTGCTAGGTTGTATTCATCATCCTCTTGTCTCAGCAAGGCCCAGGCTGGGTCAGTGGTGAGCAGGGTGGGGGACAACCTGGAGAGATTTGAGAAGTCCCTGTCCTCTGGGAACTCAGTCCAATAGGGTAGACAGAACCCAGGCATACAAAGATAAGGGAGGATGAGATCCCTGGGGCTGAGAGCGAGAGAGAAATACAGGTTGGAGCCGCAGCAAAGCTTCAGGGATGACTTGGATGCTCCCAGTGGAGGGGAAAGGTCAGGACTGGGTTTGTTAGGGGACAGAGAAGAGTTTAAACTCCATTGTTTATGTTGCTCCACTGACCAGACCTTTTATTGGCTCCCTCTTGCTCTCAGGATAAAGTCCCAAAAGTTCACCTTGCTTTGCATGGCCTACAAGGCCTCGCAAGGTCTAGCCTTTGCTACCCACCCTACTTCAGTTCTCATCATTGTTCTTTGAAGATTCCACAATCCCAGCACACTGAACTGCCCTCACTTCCTGGAAAGTGACAGTGACACTGCCTGTCTCCTCTAGGCCTTTGAAATTGCTGTTTCTTATGCCTGCCTGGTACAGTCTTTTCGGTCTGCTGCCAACTGCTCCATGCCACCCTGCCCCAAATCTCTCCATCTCTCTTTCATACGTCACATCTCAGTTTGCCCATCATATTCTCCTACAAGGGATTAAGTCCCCTTTCTGGAGGCAGGATAGGGTGATATCCCCACTAGACTATAAACTCTGGGGTGGCAAGGATCATGTCTGTGTCATTCATTGTTGATTCCCCTGAACCTAGCACCATACCTGGAATATACTAAATTCTAAAAATTAGTTGAATGTGAATTCTGAATGCTTCAAGTTGTTCTTTGGAAATTTTGATCTGATTGTGTTTAAAGGATAGAAAGGAGTGAGCCTGGAATGAGGAGGCTAGTGGGGAGTGATAACAAGGAGATGCCACTGGAGAAGCACACTTTTTGGGGTTCATGTTTATATCTGCTTTGGTAGTAGGGCTATGAATGATTCAAATTTGAACCACATGTAGCCATGCCTTAAGAGCTGGGTGTTGGAAATTAAGAGGACGAAAATTCTGATGACGTAAATAGTTATTCTCATTCAACAATTATTTATTGAGCACCTACTAATGCCAGGTACTGTTCTAGGTTATCGGTGATAATAGCAGCAAACAAAACAAACAAAAATCTCGACATCATGGAGCTTATCTTTTAGTTGGAGGTAAACTGTCAATAAACAAACAAGTAAAATACGTAGTTTCTCAGATGGTGACAGGTGTCAAGGAGAAAAATAAAGCAGGGAAATAAATGGACTAGGAAGTTCAGGGAACCAGAAGATTATGATTTAAATGTAGCAGTCAGGGAAGGCTTCACGGAGGTGACATTTGGGAAAGACTTGATGGAAGTGAAAGAGTTAGTTATGTGGTATCTGTGGGAGAAAGCATTCCAGACAGAGGGCATAGAAATTGTAAAGTTCCTGAGATGGGAGCTTCCTTACACATGTTCTGGATCACAAAGGAAGGGAGAAGGAAAGTGGCAAGAAATAGGTCAGAGACGTTTATCCCTCTACTCTGTAGGGTTAATCAAATAACCACAGCATATTAAACTGATTATGACGAAGCTCCATGAATCATAATTTGTAATTAAAATGCATGACTGTCAGGCACCATAAACCACGACCAGCTCAAGCCATCACTGGTAATACCCCAATAACAAAGTGTCCTTCCTGAAAATTTTGAGAATTCCCACTGGCTGCATGTACGTGTGCAAGAGGAGCTCTGCATCGTGGCCAAACATTGCCTGGCAGCCAGACTTCTTAGTAGAGAACTGAATTAGAGTCTTCTGCGAGCTCCAGTTAAAAGCTAATTTTAGTTTATGACTAACACATTTTAGTATTCCTTTATAACTCAGTTACCACACCCACAAAAAATCAAAGCCTGGAATTTTGCATCATTTGCCTGCAGGAGCCAAAGAAAAGAAGTTACATCTTTGGATCATTTTGTGGTCTCTTCAGAGGCCCCTCTGGGACAATACTCTTAGAAATATTGATCTTAATGAGGTGTGACTAGGGTAGGGGCTAGTGGACAGGAATGGGTGGAGGGTCAAAAGAGAGTCTTAGATGAGTCAGAGATTTTCAGTCTGATGACTGGGCCTGGGATCCACAGAAGAAAGAATGGGAGGAGGTGAGCAGAACCTAAGGGAAGTTGATACATTTCAGTATATCTAAAGTAAGATGCTTTCTCTTGT